GGGACCGCTCTTATGAAATTATTTAAAAAGCTCTGAAATCAAACTCAAAGCTAAGTCTTTATATGAAAAAATATGGAATACATACAATTATGCTGTAATCTTAAATACATCAATTAGTTCATATATCTATATAGAAATAAAATGACTTTTGCTTTTACATTTATTGAAGTTAATAACCAATTTTCGATTCTTCTTTTTGACGGTTTCCCTTGACATCGCCTACCTGTTGGGATTGCATGTCGAATAACCTTAATAAAGTAATTGTCAGAGACTCTTGTCACATGCTGACTCCACGCTTGTCTTCTAAGTTTTCAAAATTTGATCTTATTGATTTCTGTCAACTCTGTGGCTGATTTCCCAGTCATAGCGATATTTTTGGCAATTCCAAAGCATACAAGCTGTTCAGATAGGGTGCTTTACAGTCGATTAGGTAAACATTCAAGCAGATTGAATCTCTTGTTTAATCATTTCTGTCCCAGTTGTGGAAAAAACGATGAAAGTGCCTCACACCTGCCTCTAGTACAGCCTAAAACCTTCCCAAAAGATCATTTTAGGCTTTGATAAGGGTTTAAGGTAATTTTAAAACCTTATAGTTCCTCATGATGAGCTAATAGACATAAATGGATCTTTACTATCGCCGACATAACCTAACATAACCGAACCTAATATCGATCACAACTGTTTGAATTTCAATGTTGATGCTTCTTATATATATATAATCTTATAAATCTGGACTGGTTTCGCCTGACTGCAGACTACAGATATTTAGGACATAACATTCAATTGAGCTCTAGAAAGTGTTGTTAAAAAGCACTTTTTAGCTTCTTTGTTGTATGTAATTAGGTATATTCGTATTGTATATTAGTAAGAGCTTTATCTTAACTATCAATAACTTAGTTTGACTGTTTAATAGGAATATACATACATTTATATTAGTATGCATTTGCACCAAGTACGGGTAGACTTGAATCTATTGAACTTAGTATGCACATTTTAAATTTGTAATGCCTGATAAAAAAGGATTATGCCAAATCCGCACAATAAATAAGTTAAGACAACAACAACAAGAACAACAACGAAACACATGCACAACATATAAAGTTTTGCAGTAAAAATGCACTTTTAATTCCTTTTATATTTCATTTATTTATGCATTTTTTTTTGCTTTTACTCTTTTTGCTTCAAAAATATACAGGATTAAAAACTACTTCAAAAGGATAAAATACAAAAACAAGCATGTTAAGAATACACCAATGTCGAACATAATACACATCAGCAATACAACACGTCCTGCAGATACATACGAGTATGCACATTACAAAATAAACATATATACAGACAAGGAAAAAAGGATATTATAGCGAAAATGCTTTAAATTATAAATAAAAAATAATAAAAATAATAAAAAATAAAGACAGGAAAGGAAAGTGTAAAAGTATAGAGAGGGATAATATATATAAATGGAAGCAAAGAAATATACAAGAAAATAAAGGATAGTGTGTGAGCATCCTTGCCGCAGCGAGCGCTGAAAATTAATAGTTTGCCAAGTTAAAAAGGATCGCCTTTCAAGTCGCAAACCGCTAACAATATGTAAGGAAAAAGAATTTTAATGAACACTAGTGGCAAAATAACAAAGCACACGACGACAACAACGGCAACAAGGACATGGAAGCGACAACAAGGATGTTGATGTTGATGATGATGATGACGATGGCGATGGCGATGGCGATGAGGATGAGGATGAGAATGACGACAATGACTATGACTACGATTACAACGACACAATGGCAAAGTCAACATTATTACTAAAATCCTTTTTTGAATATACCATATGTGTTAGCGGAGTATGAAAAGGACTTAAAGTGATGTATGCGAATAAGCTGCTTTCGTATAAAGAATAGTATTAGTTACGTAGCCGATGCTAAAGCTAAAGCTATTAAAAATTTTAACTAATTTATTACAAGCTTGCAAGGATAAAGAGGCGCTATGTTGCCACGAAAAGTAATGAAAGGTATAGTTTTAAAATTATTTCATTTAAAAATGTAGTAAGTAAATATGCATAGGAAATGCTCTTAGGAAAATCTTCCACTAATATAAAGACCTTAAGCTAATCTCGCTGCATATATGTATCTTCAATGAATAATTTTTGCAATCAACTTAGGAATGAACGGAGTACTAGTTCTCAACGGAGTGGAGCAGTGCGACCAGATTGATCTTTTGTGTTATGCTTATGCTATGCTTTGTGTTATGTTATGCCTATACTTAGTACCAAGGAGATAAAACCATCATTAGCTGATTGCAAGGACTTAAATCTAGTATATTCGCATATTTATAAGATCAATGAATATCTTTAGCTAATCAATCTGCCTATGGCTAGTACTGAAAAGTAAAGCCGTCGTTTGAGGCCTTTAATCTGGTATCAAATTACTAATGCTTAGTGCTAAAAAGCTCAAGCTTTCTTTAGCTAACTTTATCAATTTACCTATGATTAGTATTAAGAAGTAAAGTCTTCATTCGCTAACTTTAAGGATTTAAAATTTTTTATCGCTACATAATTGTAAGGTCGACGAATAATGTCGACAAATCAACCTATCAGTACTTAATGCTGAAAAGCTTAAGCCTTCATTAACTCCCTCTAAGTTCTTTAATCTGATATCTCTACATAACCATCAGCTCTTAACCTTAATTAATAAACCTTCTGTTAGTAGCTGCAATCCAGTGTTCCATTAAATATACATTAATAAGGAAATACTTCATTTCCTTTGATATTGACGTTAAATAACGTAAAATAATAATAAATGTTCTTTCAGGAAGATTTACTCAAGGAGTTTTTCCCAAAACTCCGTCGAACCTCAATATTGACTGTTACTTTAATTATTGATTGTAATTTTAATTTTATATAAATATTATTGTTTTTTTTTTATGTCTCTTTTTCTTCTCTTATTCGCTTTAAGTTAACACATCAATAAATATTTGTTTATTATTTTTTTACTTCCGTTTTTTATTATTTAAAGACGCGGAAGCATCAGCAGACAATATTCCAATAAACTTCATCTGCTCCAACTTGGTATGTGGCATGAGCTAAAAATGGAATTTTATCAATTTATTTAGCGAGTTTGGTTGGAAAATTTTTAATATAAATAAATATTGAATTCTAAG